TCGCTTACCATGGCACAATGATCTGTACAACAGTATAAAAGGTTTTCCTAATTCTTATGATAGCAAACACTGTGTTCACTAGGCAACTAAAACTCTTACACCTAGAGATAACTCGCGCAAATATTAAAAGGTTTCCAAAACATAAGTTTAGTGACGTAGGAATTCGAAAACAGAATAAGCGCGAAAAACCGCGAAATAACACGCTCTTAAGTTCTTAGAAACGATAAAATTCAAGTTACAAATTTAATCTGGTCATGGATAATTAAGCTGCAGAAACTTTCTGACTAGCTCTTTCCTTCCTTTTGTTGGGTGTTTCGGACAATTTTTTTTTCTCATCCTGTCTATATTATTTTCTGTCTTTTTTGTTTGTGACACCTTAATTCGTTCGAAATGCCATTAGTTTTTGTTTATTGATAACCTTCGATAATTTACGCAACCCCGAATATTCTCGAAGTCTTAAAAACAAACGTAAAAAAACTGCATTTGAAAGAGGGGGAATCCCCTAATTCAATTTCTTTTATCTATCAGCGCACGTTACTGGATCAGGCTATTTAAAGACCAAAGATCGACCTCCTCTAAACACGTCAAAATGAAGAGACAATCGAAGCAATCAATGGGGCTTGTCGTACTACAAATGATGCAATTTTCAAAATCGAGAAGTCCCTTGGATGCAACGACTTCGAAGGACAAATGATTCAATCATTTTTCCCACAACTGGCCAAAAAAATCCAGTCACAACGAAATTCTTACAATTCAATTTCATAATGGACTCGCTCCAGAGGATTCAAAGAGACGTTTCTCACAAATTTGATTTGCTAATTTTAATTTGCGCTACCCGTGGTTGAGCGATTCAAGAGGTGTTAGCAGTTCAAAAGAAAGAACTAGCTTAAGTTATGTTAAATATCAGTTAAGCTTTCGGAGCTTAAATGATCTCTCGAGCCTGCTTTTCATTAGCACGCAAGCACAAGCACAAGGTAATTAAACCGAGGGAAAACGAACGTCGACAAGCGCAGATACAACCACGACGAAAAGGAAATATTTTGATCTTTGCGTTTGTGTTTATCCTTGCGTTGAGCCTTTTTCACGGTGAAAGAAGCGTTGTGATGCTTGCGTTTGTACTTGCGTTTGTGCTTGCGTTGCTAGAGAAAACCAGGCTTAACCTGCTCAACAAAAAGTAGTGATTCTCTCAACAAAGGAGTTTGAGATCAATAACGTTTCGGAGGTTTTTACTTCCCGAGGTCATTAAGTAAATTAATGATAAGTCTTGCCGAAATCCGATTTCAAGTCACACCTATAAGGAGTTATCAAAAGATGAATTTTAAATTTAGCGCCACAACAATAGGAACCCGCCACATTCTATTACTAAAATCACTGACAGAAGAAAAGTAACTCCTCAAGCTTCCTTAGCACTCAAGTCTTTATAAACGGAAAGTAAAAGCAATGTCATCCTACAGTGGAATTATGAGTTCTCGGTGTAACTGATAAGTCTGTTACACCAGCAGTGTCGTAGTTGACGATGCTATGGCATTTATCTATCTTGTCAGAGTGGCTACATGTCGGCAATTATATTGTTATGAAGTATTAGTTAGTTTATAGTTATAATTAGTTATTTAGTCAGTCAGTTCAGTATGATTTGACCTTTCGCTTATATTTAGAATGTATTTAATGTATGAATTCGAATTTTGAAGTTATTTAGTCTATTAAAGTTCTTGTTTTAGCTAACGCAGTCAGGTTGACTAAGCTGATCGGAAGTATTATGATTAAGTACTTTGCTGTTCATTTCGAAAGTCTCGTGAAAATGTGTGATTTAGTGTTCTAACAACAATTGTTTGATCTGTCAAGGTCAGGCAGCTGGCATGCCCACCCATATCGGTCAGTAGTACATATATATCAGCATGTTCTTTGGTGCTCACTTAGGAGAGTGGAATGAAGAGAGAGAAGAGCAGACCAGAAGAATGTAGACACTGCAGAATAGTAGAGTCAGAACTCCGCAGTTAAAGAAGTATTCAGTGAAACTCAAAGTGTGAGAGTCTAAGGGATTAACCAGAGTTACACAGAATGAAATAAGCTTGGATGTAAGTAGAATTGTGTACTGGATACTGAATAATTAAAGAAAAAAGCGAAAAAGGTTCAAGACTGTTGGTGCCATTCATCGAGCGTGGTGTGCTCGATAGCTAGCCCTCTCGACATTATTTTGATAGTCGTAACAATACTCATGCAGAAATAAGGATTATAGGGGGGCAATAATTTTTGTTACTTCAGCTGGCAAGAAGTGAAAAATAGCAGACAATTTTGAAATAGAAATTCATGTCCTAAATTGGAAAACTTACGCTTAAAATAACTTATGTTTGGGCTCATGTTCGGTCTAAATCTGTTAATAATACGTCCAGGAGTGACGAATAACAGAGAGAACGAAAGAGTTATGAAGTTTAAAATAATTTTGACAAGGCGAAAAAAATTGGCTGGTTCTTAAACCAAGAGAACCTCCAATGTTCTCTTTGGTTTGAGTTTTTCCTTTTTTCACTTATGTTAAGCAGTACTGCTATAGACCTTGGCTTTTATGAAGCTGAGTACTCGAGGGCCGAGGATGTTTAACGCACAGAAAAGAATAAACCACATACTTTCAAGAGGAAATGCGCTTCTCTCTGGATGCTTCTCGAATTCGCTTCCCTTTTTCGCAAAACATACACGCAAAGATCAGATTATGGCGACATCTACTACTATCATCGAGTGAAGCGGCCCAAATATACGTAGATCTTAAATGAGTGGCACAGATGATCATCATCCATATAAATTTGGCTCACAGATCCGTCTGAAACTAATCGTCGTACATTTTTCACGACTCTTTGATCTTGGAAAAGCTCTAATCCTTTTAAACAAATTTCTCCCTTTTTAAAAACAATTTTAAAAGAAAATTGGATGACAGGCTTGGTGAAACTTTTAGGCTGAGCCGTTGGGAAAGTTCTAAAATTTAAACGATCACTCCTCCATATATGCACAGGTAACACACCATCTTGACTAAAACAGTGATTTAGGTTAGTAAGATTTTCCAAAATGAATTCCTGAACCAGAAAGGAAATAATTTTGTCATAAATACCTTAATCTTCACGATTTGCACGCTCAGATTCAGTGCATGGGAGCTTCTTCACAATTATCAAGACATGATCTAGCATTTTCTTCGAAGCCACCGCACTTCCCAGAAATTTAAAGGAAGTTACGTAATGTATATTAGCGCGCATCGTTAGGACTATGGTAAATATGATAATGTTATTTCCTTTTATGATTCATGAATCGATTTTGGGAAAGCTTAGTTGACCAAGATCACTGTTTTAACCAAGGTAGTGTGTTATGTATGCATGTATAATCGTAAGCCTTCGCCGAAAACATAGCTGTTGGACGTCATCCATAATTTATGCGGTTCCTGTTTAATTCTCAGAAATATAGAGGAAACGGTTTTGTACTCTGATGTGAATACTATGGCCACTATGGAGAGTTGTGGGAATGATGATCAATTAAATTATAACTATAACGTATTTGACGTATTCTCTCCCCACCTCACAATCTCCTCGTGCGCCATGGGAAAACAGCGACTGGGTCCGAGTTTAGTCTGTAGCCAGGGTATGCAAGTCCGAGTCTTTGGCGCCATGATACGGAATTCTGAACTAGTAATGAGTTTCTCAAAAATGAGTAGAGCCTGGCACTATTTCACGAGCTGAATTGCTTAAAAAGAAATAAGTACAGTATATCTTTCCTTGAGCCAGCGATATCCAAGGCGGTTTGACGTGAGCCTGTGGTAGTGGTTAGAGCTAGATCAGTGAAGAAATGTCCCGGACTAATCGAGCACGTTTGGCGCCAAAATATGCACAGATATTTGTTCGCAGACATAATCGGTTCGGAGATGCGAACAGTTTTCCAAAAGCAAAGCTCGAGGAAAACTGTCAGCTTCGAGGAACAGAATACAGTGGTACCAAAGATTCATAGACACAGTTTATCATGTCACATACCATATTATCTTGCATGAAGGCCTAATCCCGAAAAGCCCGGCATTTGAAATTACAAAACGATTTTCAGTTTTCATTGAGACACGACGGAAGTTTGGAGACCTCATTTTGACGTTAAAAAAGTGTTGTTGTCACGGAAAACTGGGTCCGTTTCCATTGGCAAAAGGCTTTTACATTTTATTTTTGGTGACGCACAGCTCTTGAAATTCGGTTACCATGCGATACGAGGAAGGTTGCCCTTGACGACAGCGTTTATCTATGGTAAATCCCCCATCACCAGACTTCTTCCGTGTCTCCCTCAATTAAAAATCGTAGTAATATGTGCCACCCCTGAATATGCACCACCGCCAAAAAATTCTTGTACAAGCTTCAATGTTATACAGTTTAATATCTTAGGAGAACTAAAGGCAGACGTAGAAAAGGCGTGCCCTTCCACACTGGAGATAGTAGACCCTTAGGTTAAGAAGGGATTGGTAAGATTAAAGTTGAGTAAATATTTCATCGGTAATACAAATGAAAGGTGCAGGAAGAAACGATTCCTGACAATCAATATGTGCTTCGCTAATGTCTGTCAAATGTTCAAAGAGACAGGAAATATACTATTGGATTAGAAAAGAACGTTTCTATGTTGCATTCGATGTGTGCTACCCTCAAATAAGCACACCCCTTGAATAAGCGCTACACTTCCAAAGCTCCTAGCTCATTTATGGTAACATTCAATTGAAAAATGGTCTTTATATTAAGAGGTTTTGGTCGACCCCCCGCCCCCTCCAAAAAACCTCATGTTGTTGGGAGGTCATTTGATTTTGCTTCACACAGAGATCTAGTGTGCCAAAGGATATGTTTGCAACGCATTCATTTGCCAAATTGGTTGCTTAGTTGCTTGCTTATTAAAAGATTGTAAAAACGGAGGAGAGAGAATGGAGAGACTCTGATGTCTGGTAGCAAAAACAATTTACCACAAACTTTCTGAAGCAAAAATTCATGTTTAATACGACTTCGATCCACACATTGTCTACTTTCTTTGCTGAGAAAATATAATGATTGCGTAACTATGACTTGCATAGCTACCTGAAGTTTAAAATCCAGAGGTTACCTCAGTAGGAAATAAGAAACTACTTACATAACTACAAAAATTGTAAAACCTAAGAAAACTAAATACCTTTTATTTATGGAGGTTACCACTTTATTATAAAATAAGCTTAATAAGTAAATTTAGTTACTGAAAATGCATTAATATCACTCGTTACTAACTTAATAGATGACTCCCGAAATTTCAAGAGCAAGCTCGATTTTTCTTTCCTTCATTTCTATCGCACGTCTCACGAAGGAAAAGAAGATGAAATTTGAAATCCTTAAACTTCCTTCCTGTTCTGGTGTAACTATATATGAAAAAAAGGTTGTAGAGGGGCTTTATTTCACATAGCACTCTAATAACCATGAAACACCTCCAGGAATTTAATAACAACACCAAGTGAAATGTTTTGTTTGGCCGAAAGGTTACAAAATCCCCTGAAGCGTTTTTTCATTTTAGATTACGAAAAAAACAACCCGCTACCAAATCTAATTTGCTGCTTAAGCCTGTGGACAATTTACTCTGATTTTTTCCCTACAATGATAAGAAATAGAATTTTATTTTACAATGGCTTCACTTTTATGATGCACTTGGCTTTCCATCTCCTCGCCAGACAAACCAATGCTTTGTATACTTTTGTATAAATTTGGATATTAAAGTCACTGTATAGAAATCACTTCGACCTAAGGGGATCCTGCCACCCTCATTTCCCCTTCCCCCTAAGGTTTGCGTCCTTGCACAAGTGAGATTAAAATAACTATTACGATCTTTAACCCTCTACACCCGAACAATCTTCACTGTTCTCTTTGTATTTCCTCTGGTACTGACAATGAGAGTTTGTTTGATAATCAGGAGCTTGCTAAATTGGTGATCAGTGCCTTTATTTTCGTCACATTCACCATTTCATTCTAGGGTGATACCGTGAGGACAAATTAGGAGCCAGTCAAGGATAAAGAGTTAAATTCACGCCTACAATAAAGAATGAATAAATTAATCAGGACGCTATCTAAAACATCTCAATTAGGAACAATTTGCCTTTTCTTGGAATTCTTAGCACTGGAGTCGAGGTTATCATTCATTCATGCCTGTCTGACTGTACAAAGGATGGCGACAAATTGGGCAGCTGCGACTGCAAGTTAAAAGGAAATATATCAAGTGAACTTGAGAAAAACTAGTGTGGGAATGTCACAGTAAAATCTGGCCTACCTAACATTAAAAGTCTTTCAAAGTTTATGAATGACATAATATCGCTTTGGATTCAAAAGAATTTCATGACAAAATGCAAAGAGCGTCTCGAAACCAAAACTGAAATTATCTCTGGACCTCAGAAAAGCTAAGGGGACAATCAGGGCGTTACCCGGGATATGTCGATTTCACTAGACTTATTCCCAGCTGGAGGCGGCAGCGGAGGTCTGTTTCTCCGGAATTCCGTACTGTTGATTCTTGATGTAGTTTCCTATCATTTCCCAAGTTATTTTAATCGCAAAAACCAATCGCTGTTTGTCAATAAATCACTCTTACCCACTGGCGACCAAGGCTCCTTAAGAGGAGACAGATTTTTTTTCATTTTACATGCAACTGAAAACTACTCATTGTAGACTCATAGCTCGAGCAGGTCCACACACACACACACCCAATCCAGAATTGAATACCAACAAATTTTCAGCGGAGCAGTGGAGTGTTCTTCCATATTTAAGTTTATTCCCAAAAATAGATGTCCATATTTCATGCATACTTACACGCCGTTCTGTATCATAGCAATAGCGCACTCTCGGTGAACCTTGTGTGAGCATGGCAGGATCTGACAACCGCTGAAAGCGTCCTGAAATAAAGAACCGATCAATGAGATTAAAAAAAAATGTTTGGATTGTGATCTTATTGCCCTGTTTTTCTTTCGCCGGATTTCCACTCAAGAAATGCAAGCACCTGACGTTACTGTGCGTAACAGGTGAATAAAACCAAATTGAGTGCAAGGTTAATTGCTTCGCATAAAGGGGAAAATCTTTTCGAAGATATTTCTCCCATTTCTTACTCTTATTCAGCCTTAGTAAGTAAATTACGTAACTACCTCTAAACAGATGCAGCACTCATCGTGTCCTGAATTTGCTCGGCAAGAATGTTTTCCTTCCAGCCGTTTGTCCAGACAGACGTTACACACATCACAGTGGAAAGAGCGGTCCTTGTAGATACTGAACGGGAAATAGGAGCATCACTTCGCACGTATTTACTCGAGCACAATATGATTCGTTGGGGAAACAAATTTCTAATTCATACTTAAAAGCGCTGTATTTCTACTTGATAAGCTGCAATAATTACTGAGGAGGAAACTTGATACGTATGAGGAAACCAAAACTAATGTTTTGTGGGATTCCATGAGGTGTGTTAACCACTCATCGATGAAGCTTCTCTGTAATATTTTGCTCTCGCTCTAAAGGCAGCACCCGGATTCTTCATTCATACTGTAACACAGGTCAATAACTCCTTGACTTGGTACTGAAGCAGGCCAATAACTCCCTGACCCTTATTCTTTTGGACAACAAGCATAATATCCAAACAAACGAAAAAAAAATTGGTCATGAATATTGTTTCACCTACCGGCAGATACCACACTTTTCGCAGTGATAAGGAGCTTTATCTTCCCCTGTGAAGTGTTTACACACCGAGCAGAAATATGCTGAGAACCTTGTTTTGCATCTGGCACAGGTGTGGGCGTCCTGGTTGATCTTAAAAATCAAACATTCGAAGTTAAATCGGTGATAACCTAAGTGTAAGAACCCTCTTTCCTCTTATATAAAATTTCAAGTCAATGTCATTCCTGTTTACCTCTTGTTGATGGCTACAAACAGAGCACTCAACAGAACACGCCTCTCTTGCTTTGGAATTGTCATTTGGGCACCCAGAGTTGTTATGACAACGATGACAAGGAAAGAACTTTCCGCAGCATGAAAACTTGACACGGCAGAGCCGTTGATAATGTTCACACAGCCATTGTCGAACCTCAGCAGGAGCCGAGTCTTGCGAAGGTGTTTCTTGTCCACTGCTCGTGGAGTTCTCTTCTACTCTTTCATTCATGAGTTCCGTTTCTCTCGCTTCCCTCGCTTCCCTTTCTTTTCTTTCTCGTGCTTGTTTTTCTTTCCTTTCCCGCTTTTCTTTTCTTTTTCGCTCAGTTTCTTTCATGGATTTCTCTCTCTCTTGTCTTTCTTTCAACGTTCTCTCGACAAGAGAGCAAGCTTCAGCCACACGTTGCTCGAGTACGGCCAATGACCCGTCAACAGATGTGTTTGAATTACTGTTTAACAGACCCTGACCAGCTCCTGCACTTTCCCCGTCCAGAAGAAATCCCGGAGCGTCATCTCCTCTTTCCAACTGCGATGGCGATATCGGCCTTTCGGCGAGTACATGTCCATTTGGGAAGATATTTGGCGGAGTTCTTGCGCGTCCATTACCAATGGGAAACTCTCTGACTGTCAACGGGAGATTTGCTTTAGATCCATCTTCGAGGAGGCTTGAAGATTGAGGCAGTCCTAAGGTCTTCGCTGAAACAGTTTTGGGCATCACTAAGTTGAGGGATGACTTTTGCGGCTGATAACCATCACGACTTGAGTATATTTGTGGAGGAGATCCCATGGTGCTGGCGTAGGCAGAATAATCTCCTGCATAAAATTTTGTAGAATCACGACATTCAGGAAGTGTCGATGAACTTGGGGGAGTAGGGCAGTACACTTCAGGCATACACCCAGATCTGTTGTACTCGGAGTGTGTACCTACAGGCAATTCAAAATCTTCACATGGGCCACAAGAATCCCAGCGCTCATCAGATGCACGGCACTCACAAGAATGACGTGCGAGAAAACTGGGATATATTCCGATGTGATTTGTTCCAAAGTCATCCTCACTTTGATCCCTTTGTGAACTGTGGCCTGACGGAAGATCGCTTCGGCGTCCACCTTTCAAACCAAGAGATCTTTTTTTTTTCGAATTAGTCTCATGGAAATCTCCTGGTGTTTTTGGAAGGGCAACAGCTTGGGTATTCCAATCCTTGTCAAGGCCGTAAGCCCCATTTGTAGGAAGTACATCGCGGTTTTCACCGCTGTCTGCAAACACATCTCCTCCCTGAAAAGAAGCTTTAAGAACGCCATTCCGTCCATCGCTGACTTCATTTGGTGTTTCCATTACCTCCTGTGAGATGCTGATTCTTCCATTTTTATCCTTTTGGGACGGATTTTTAAGGCGGTAGTGATGCTCACCTTCACTGTTTTCTTGACTAGAAATTTTACCTGGTTCGTTGAATTCTTCGTTGCTGTCCCACTTGTTGTTGTCTTCTCCAAATGATGGAATATCAGGGCTCACAACTCCACCTGCCGCGTTGCAAGGAAATTCTCGCCAGCTTCGTTCAGGGCGCGACTTCAACTGAGGAACCTCTTGAAAGTCCTCGCACAGTAAAAGTCTTGCAAGAGCGATGTGACATTGCACTAAATCCGGGTGATCTGAACCGTAGTCAAAACTTGTCAAAATACTCAATGCTTCTTCAAAGAAATTATTTGATGACAAGTTTTTCTTCATCAGAAAGAATCTAACACCTTGCCTATAGAGAAACGATGCATGCGTTGGGTGGTTTTTCCCTAGCGTTTCTTTGCAACTTGGTACAAAAACGTCAAGGAAAGATGCAAAGTCTGAGTTTTTATCGTTCAAGTGATAATCAACTAAATTCAATATCGTTGCGAACAAGAAGTCCCAGTGGAATTGTCCACTACATCCGAGGGCAACTTCAAAATCGGGAAAGAAAAACGAAAATGAAGACATTAGTGACGAAGCAGACGATGAAGATGACGATGTTGATGACGAAGATGACGATGACGATGACGATGATGATGAAACTGCTGAAGATGATGATGATGATGAAACTGATGATGACGACGGTGATGATGATGATGATAATGACCCTAGCCCTGACCCCGATGCTGTCGAAAACGATTGTGAAGAAGGCGAGAGTGGTGGTGATAGCGATTTAGGCGAAAGAGAAGGGAAAGTCAAGCGCTCCGCTATTTTCTCTGCACTAGCCACATCTCCAATCTTTTGATACGCCAAACAAATTTTAGACGATATAAATTTCGAGAATATTGCTTCTTCATTGTTCATCCTCTCAGATAGTAAATCCAATATCCTCAGCTCCATCAGTGCTTTGACAGGTTCTTTGAGTTCTATGAACAACTCTGCTCTATTGTAATGTATGGCGGCTACCAAATGTGGGGGAAGAATAAGATCTGTGGACTTTAGAATAAGACGCTCCTGCAACTTTACTGCAGCAGGGTAGTTCTTCTGACACTGGTAAGCTAAGCTTAAGTTGGTTTGTATAGCAACAATGTATATTTCTGGAGAGTCAGTTTTGTATTTGTTTTCAATTGCTCCAAAAATCTCCAGCGCGTGTTCTAAATAATCCTTAGCCTTGTCCATAACTCGCATAATCAGATAAACACAACCTACATTGGCCTTGGCTACTGCTCTTAAAACATCGATGAGTTGCATTTTGTTTTCAGGATATGCCGTGGTATTAAATGTGAAAAGAGAATACCATCGCTGAAATAAGTCTATAGCTATTTTGTATTTATGCAGCTTGAGTGCAACAGCACCAAAGACAATAGTAAAGCTGGCAAAAAAATGAACATCCTTATCTGAAGTCAGCTCGAGGTTTAACAAAACAACTCCAAAGAAAGAAGGAATGGAACAATTACTCAAACACATCTTTCTACCTCGATCCACCTGCCCCTTCTCGTAATCAGTTGGGTTTCCGAAGCTATCTGGGGTTAGATTCACGAGGTGCTCATGCGCAGCTTGCAAAGACTCTGTGGCCGCTTTCAATTCACATTGCTGTAAGTGATCCATCGTTTCTTCAAATTGTTCAAATGTGCTGCGTCTGGCAGACTGATTATCATCACGTTCCAACTCATCCTCAAGATGGGGTCCTGAACTAGCGTTTTTCGGGATCTTGGCGTGTGTTCCGTCCATCTTTCCGTGTCAAATGTATTACTCCTGAAAATAAGGTGAATCTTAAAACCAAACTTCATCCACATTTAAGTGTTAACAAATGTTTGATAATAAAGCTGAATAATGCTGTACGTAAATGCTTTTGTCAGCTCTCTCTCGCGCGCGTTACTTGCGTTCTCACCGATTTCCTGCAGCAGGCTAGCATTTCGTCTTTGGTGACTTTATCCATATGATATTATGAATATGATTAGATAAAATGATTAGGTTTCGAAGAAGAAGGAGATTTGTTTTTGTGTGTGTGCGTACGCTTTTGCGATGATGCTACTAAGTTTTCCTCGGCATCGTGAAATGTGTTGCTAAATACAAAAGTAATAGGAGATCATCTCGGCCAAAGTCACTCTGCCTCATACGGCATCTAAAAAATGCAAATAACTTTGGTCGCCATTTCAGAAAATTCCGAAACAAATTAAGCAGCCAGTAGCAATAGCATCATATTCCAAGGCAAAAAACTGACACCAAATATCGACTTAAAAATAGCTCAATCAGCGTGTGTGGCAAGCCGAAGAGCAGATTCAAGGCGTTCTTTTTTCTTGAAAAGCGCTATCATCTTGGAGTTTGCTGGTATATGACACGCGTGCAGTGAGCCTACAATCTCCTTCGCAGCTGTTCTGGGACTCGTAACGCAACGCTCCTTTCCGCAAACGGCTAGTAAAAGCGTTGCGTGACGAGTCACAGAACGGTTACGAAGGAGATTAGTGGCTCTACGGAACACAGAGTTTCATGCAAAATAATGTTACGACTAAACTGCCCACCAAGTATTTTACCCTATAAAATGTCGGGAAATTAGCTATCGAGCACACCACGCTCGGCGAAAGGCACAAAGACTCCCGAACTGTCTTATTGACTTTTTTCTTTAATTACCCGGTTCTCCAGTACACAATTCTACCAACATCCAAACTTATTTCATTCTGTGTAACTCTGGTTGATTTCTTAGACCCTTTGATTCTTACCGGCTTGTGCTATTAAACACTTGCTTCAACTACGGAATTTTGTCTCTACACTTTTCCACGCTGTTTACATTCTCCCAGTCTACTCTAGTCTCTCTCCACTCCCCTCTCCTAAGTAAGTTCTATAAGAACATGCCGATATATTCACTACTGAGAGATATGGGTGGGCATGCCAGCTGGCTGACCTTGTGAGATTAAACATTTGTTGTTAGAAAACTAAACCAAACATCTTCAAGAGACTTTCGAAATGAACTGACCATAATGCTTCCAATCAACTGAGTCATTTTCTAACTGCGTTAGCCAAAACAAGAACTTTGATGTGTGCCAGAAGCAAGGATAGCATACAAACTAAGCCCGTCCACTTATTTATTGCATCGACTGAAGAAAACAAAGAAGGCGCCTGCAAAGTAACTTTATGGGAGGTGGTGCTTTCAATAGAATTCATTCGAAAAAGGATTTTGTTAGGTGAGTTCATTTAAGGGTGGTACATTTGAATATTCCATCGGGGTGGACTGTGGACTGAGTCAGTGTTTTGTCTATCACCTTTCAAAAGCAATCTTCTAGCTGGATACCCTGGAAACTTGGACGAGACATGTTGAAGATGATTTCACTTCATACCTGTCTTTTATTCCAAAAAAATGATAAATTTGGAAGAGACTAAGAGTCGTTCAAATATCTTTTTGGTTCCCACAGCATTGTTTCACTACTCTGGTTATACATAAAAGGTACAAACAGTGATCGTCCAGAAAACAGCAATGCTGGCTTATATGAAAATTCACTGTTCATTGAACCATTATAACACAGAAGACACTGTTATCTCACAAACTAACGCCAGTCAAAGAGAATTAAATTAAGCTAAATAAAATTTCCATCTTATGTTCACCTAATTCTTGACCGAGTAGCTTGAAAAGATTGATAGTTACCTCAGCTTCCAGTATTTTTGTGGCGTTGGGCTGTCTAGTATTCGTCAAACAGTATCACGTTAACGCGATCAATTTGAATGCGAAATGCACCGGAAGGATCCCCCTCTAGGTTTGAGGTCATTGATCATTGATTTTCTGTAATTTGAAAAATTTCGATTTCGTTGTTGAGGCGTCGGAGCCATGCGCGAGGCAAACGCTAAGGGGAAAGGGAGGGGAGGGGGAGGATAGATGCACGCGAGGAGAGGAGCTCCTCTCTTGCGTTGGCCTCGCCTCTGCCTCGCGTTTGCCTCGTGCTTGCCTCCACTTCTCTGAAAAACGCAAAAAAGAAATGCTGCCTGCTCGGTAAGACAATCTCGCTTTGATTTCGGGTAATCACGAGAAAACATTATAATTCTTGAAATGTGGCCCCTGAATTCCACTTCATTAACGGTGAGATAAAAAAGGCTTTTTTGCGGTTGGTTTCCTGCGTTTTTCAGGTGGCGACATAAAGGACTCTTGAGAAGGATGATTCTCTCCTCTTAACTCACTGACGCTTCTAAAAGTCTAATGGAATAACTCATTGTTACGAATTGCAGGATTTATATCTCATCAGACGTTTTGGTGTGTCGTATCGCTGAATATTTTTACGAGTTGTGCCGTATTTTTACGTACCTGATGGTCAGTCGAAATACACACAACGACTAAAACTATTCAGCGATGCTACACACAGCAAAACATATAATAAGTTATTTGTCATTTCTTACAAGGCGGGAAAAGCGAAGCAGATAGAGAAGCGTAGCACTTTCAACCGACCGATTAAGTAGTTTTTTGTTTTTTTTTTTTTTACATTACTACAGTAAGTAACCAAATGTCCAAGTATCGTATGTTATTTGTACTTGCTTCATGCAATCTTTGTACTCTATTATGAAACATTTTTTGCAGCAACTGGAATGAAGCCGTGATCGACCACGTCGAAGTTTAGTTTTCGTTAGAGATAAATTATGGCAATTATCGCGATCTCAAACCCGAAAGTTTGTGACCCTACGGTAAAACAAACTTATCGACAACCACTCGAATATGACAAAATATAATGATCCGTCGATTGATGCTCGCATACTAAGACAAGTGTCGAAAGTAATCTGGGATTGCACTCTGCTGAGTGATTCTCAGCCAATCAGACTTAAAATTGACCATAATCACGTCTTGGTCATCTTCGTATCACGCACCTAAAGCATGTTGGTTTTATACTGAGCGACGTAAGTACTTTTAAAGTTTTGGTTTCACTAGTCAATCGAAATGCGTTCTAATTTGGTCATGGTTTGATAGCTCAAAATGGAAGTAGACCACAAGTAGTCAAGAGGAACGTACCTACATCTAATTCATTTCCAATAAAGCATATATATTATATACGTACAGCGCGAGTTAGGCTTCTGAAGCAATACATCTCTGCTATCAACGAGCTTATGCGTATATGAATCTGGAGGCTGTTGGGGGCGGTTATGATCATGATCATAACATTTATTACAGACATGCATAGCAAGGTGTGCCTTGTATACAGTATATCTCGACTACTACTAAATGCGGAAGTAGTTTGGAAGGCGGTTAAAAGCAAACAAGTAATCCGTTAGGATCTTAAGCTGTTCCTTGCTTTCTCCGAAATCACATGCATGCAACTTTAAGAACACATAGCTTATTTTTCCTCCAAACGCTTACCCATGAGTGCATTTCGATTTAACATTATGTTACATACACAATGATCAGCATTGGCTTCTGCATTACACAGGAATTTAGACATTCAACAGTAACTGAAAAATCTCAAAGCGTTACGTTTGTTCAACCTTCCCCTTGATTTAAAACTTATCTCGTGACTTTCTTATCATTTGTCTTAAAGATTGTAAGATGATCAAGTTCCAGTTCAATTGCGTCACTTGTAAACACACATCTCTTAGGCGTAATCATCTGAAGAATCATTAGGAAAATTCTAGCCATACCTGGTTGAACTGGATTGAGCTGTTGTCCAGTTCAGGATAGGTTCCTGTTTTAGCGAGCTGATATCGAAAGTTGAAAATTTTGTCATGTGATCGAAACAGAAATGATTGCATCATAAGGTTTCCCAGGTCAAAGGTTTATTTTAATACAGCAGAAAGTGCTCAGGCGCATTATTAAAATACACAACGTGCCAGGACTAGATTCTAGATTATAACCCAACTGCACCAAGGAAACTCTAAGTAGAGTACAAATAACGCGCGAATCGAGTCTAATTATCGTTCAACCGGTCGGCTGCACGTGCCACCCTCTCTATCTACTTCACTTTACCTCCACTGGCGCTTTTTTTGTTTGTGTAAGTTAATAGTCTGTCAACAGTTAATGTGGAATACGCGTGACACACAAAAATTGCCAAATTCATGTTTCCGGTCGCAAATGAGAAACAGCGCTTGAGTGTGGCGCTCACAACAAGGCGTTTGTAACATCCGTTTACAGCATGTTTCTTCTATTATTCATTTCCACTGGAAGTTTATCAAACTTGTGCACACGAATGTGATATATATGCTGCTCAATGTTAGTTTTAATCATTCCTGGAGAACTCTCAGCATCGTCTTTTGACATGGATAACAGTGATGGTAAAGCAAGCTTAAAACGGCAGAAATCGCCAGAAACTACGACGAATACACAGGGCATGAGTAAGTTTTATTGATCTTACGTGTAAAATATTCATATTTCGAAATATTTATCGTTGTAAATCGACCATATTTCGTTCCCCATACTATTCCTTATAACGTGTACAAATTTTCAACGGTTCCTCCCGTAACTTAACACCGAGTCACACAACGCGTGACGCGTTCATGAATTCATCGTTGGCTTTTTCTCGAGACGTGAGCTTGGGCCGCCTGTGCTGTCTAAAGCTTTTGCCCTCTAATCGTTCAGTAAGAGGACGTACAGCGTTTACATCGAAAATTTGTCGAAGTAAACAAATACAAATGCGTGCATTCACAATTTCCGACTCAGACTTTGCGGCATGCAAATTTTATAACACTTCATTTGCATCCAAGCGATAACAGAAAAAATTCAATTGCCAAAAATACGTGTCATCATGCCACACAGGGAGAATACATTAGACTGGGTGTTCAGTTTTCGACAAAAATTCTAAACTGCCGAAAAGCGAAGTGTCCTCAAATAGAAAATGCAAACTCAAAATACTGACATATATGCAGAGAATGAAATTTCACGTTTATGTATTAAATTTTCAGGAAATCAAAGTGACGTTCAGTGGAGCGAAAACCCCAACTTGAGACATAAGACATGGCGTCATGCTACGCTATCGCATCTCATTCAATATGGCGAGGTAGTCCTAATGTAAATCCGAGCGTTCTAATTTGTTCATACTTGGGTGGTTTTTTTTCTTTTTTTTTTTGCCATAAGAACCAGTTCCTTGGAAATGGTCGTAAGCAGTGTATTTTTGGTTGCTAAAGCCGACAAATTCAAAATCACCATGTTAGCAACGCTTGCTCGAGCCGCACAGACGAATGTTGGCCTTCAATATTGGTCCCCAAGTCGATGCTCAACTCTTTTTTTGATGCACTCTAAAAAAAGGAAAAAAAAGGGGAACGATTTCAAACTGCATAATCATCATAACAGGAAACCGGTGGTATTCCTGAGACCACATGCAAAGTACTTTGGCCGGAGGTCTCCAATACCTAAGCCCTTTAAGTATAGTTTCAACTCTAAATGAACAAAGAAAGAGAAGCAACCTAAATGAGTCATTGGAGCTGAATTTTCGTATAAATTTTAGCAGAAGAACATCAATGTTCTCCTTGATTTTACTGACCTTTGACTTCCGATTCGATAACCGACATACATATATAAATGTGTTGTCTATTAGGCATGACAGTTTATTTTTTCAAGTTTCCGTCTGAGTTCTAGACCCGACAGTTAAACTCTTGTACTGTCTCTGACGCTATTCAACGGATAAATCACTATCCAGCAGGTAAGAGTTAAAAAAACGTACTGTGCTATCCACCGTGTAAAGATTTATCTAGTGGCTAGCGTTATCTACCCTTCGAACAACCAGGGCCTGACGTTTTGCCGAGGAGTTTTTTTGCCAAACAGCACTATGGTTTTGTTAGTCCTTTCTTTTTCAAAATCGTCTCTAGCTCGCTGCAATCCAACATGTACCACGACCGTGAGAACCAACTATTTATATAAACATAGCAAATATTGTTTATGAGGTTGAAGTACGACTTAGCCGGATGAGAATACAATATCGTTTTCCTCACAGTTTGCCTTTTCACAGCCACACAAAACAAACAAAACTGCTGCGAATAGGACAAAACTGCTGCGAATAGGACAACGTTGGAGGTCACCTTTTTACATGTGAATACTGGACTAAGTCTTATGTAAATTTTTAGGTCCCACCTATTTTATTTTATTAAAGATAATAATTTTGGTATAACAGCTGTGAGGCTGGAGATGTGCCATCTTGTGAGTGTCAACTCGTCCATTTTCTGACAACATCGTTCAGATAACCTTTTTGACTATTTTCCACCTTATCAAATGTTTACTTAGCCTTTTTTAATAGTTGCCAGGTTATATTTTTTAGTTTTGAATAATATAAATTGTGTGAAGTAAAAAACATTTGTCTGATATTATTTTTTCCGTTTTATATTTTCTTCCTTCAGCTGGCTTAAGATGAAGCAAAACGGAAAATTCTAATCTGCCGAAAAATTTTGTCCTTAAATAAAAAATGCAAATTTAAAATACTGACATGAATGCGGAGAACGAAATTTCACATTTATGTATTACAAAAATTTTTAGGAAATCAAAGTGACTTTCAGGCGAAATAACTTTACTTTGATGAAAAGGCATTTGTGTTCAAATACCTCCTACTTTTTCTTCGCTCTAAGCTATCCTTTCCCGCACGCTGAAAGACTGAAACTGGAATAGCACTTGGCATACACGCACGTCGAAGTTTATTGCTTGCCGAACTTGATTAAAAAGTTCAATTCAGACGTCATGCTTCTATCGTGCTTTTCTGAAACTGAAATAAATACGACACGGCAGGAGCACGACGTCTGCTCTGGCGCAACAGCGTTTCAAACGTCGTACCTCATGTATTTGGTGGGATTGCGTTCTTGCGGGAAGATACGACGATGGCTTGTTATTAAGATTCGGTAAATCCTGATTTTTGTGCGAATGTAACCCGATGTCTGAATCAGAGTCGTGCTTCTTCCCTGCTAAAGTCGAATCCAATTGCAATTAAGTTCAGCACGGCAGTAGCAAGTCTAATGGCGGCTCAATACACCTTTGTTTTTAATATTCAAACATGAATATGACGGCTCGATAAAACCACACCTAGCGAAAATTACATCACGTTGCAAGTTTTACCTGTTTTGGTGGTAGGAATAGGGGAAGAGAGGTTGAAGGGCTCTTAAAAGCTCTAGTTTTTAATCAGTAACTTGAGCGTAACTAAACATTTTGAGCATAATTTTTGGCATAAGGCCATATTGTCAGGTGTGTCGCTCAAAATATAGTGTTAGCTTCAAGTAAATATCACGCCCTGCGAACATTCGTAGCCTACGAGACGAAGACTGATTTCGAAAGGAATTGAAGAAAGATTCTCCTACACTGGGGATCAAACAGTGATTAATAGGAAAATGTTATTTCAGAGCAGCAGTCTCTTAAATTTTCTTCCGACACGTTTTTATGGTGCTTTTCTAAAAAACGATGATAGAAAGATTGAACTTGATGTGATAAACCCACAGTTGTACATTTATGTTTCTGTGCCTAATAAGGATAAGATATAGAACGTGTTCATAGGTTTTTAAACACATCATATGTCTCAGTCCTTATTACGAACGCAAAATGCAAAGATGGCGCATGAATTGTAAACAGACAAAAAAAAAACGATCACGGGAGAAACGGGAACACGAAGGAAAACCTGTACAACAAAAAATATAAGTCAAACGTAGTGTGGGTCTTTTCCTTATAACAATCATGTGACTGAAAAATTCTTTCAGTCTTGCTCAGAGTTCAACGGAACACGTTAAGGCCTGTCATTCCTAAAAATAATCGAAGCGAAAGGTAAACAATGAGAAAAAAGTTCAACGTTCGGACGAACTCACCTAAGCTAGCTTGAAAAATGCCACTTGTGTCGTGTATGCCAAATGATTTTGTCCTCTAGTGTTCTAGTAAAAGGATGTACAGAGTCGAGTTCGAAACTTTATCGAAGAAAACGAATACCGACGATTAAAAGTTGGGGGCTCGCAAATTTGTATATGCAAATTTGAAACCAATTAAAAGTCGGGAACCTGATGTCATGCTACAATATCGCATATCGTTCAATATATTTACAAAAATCCGCCCTGAGGCGGTTGGGCATACAATATACCCTGCTGGGTAAACCCACCACCTAACCATTCCCCTAAAAAATTGACAACCCATTCCCTAGAACCTCAATGAAATGATGAAAAAAAGTAAAATAATAAAAAAAAGAAAAAGTATATATATATATATGGAAAATTAACAAAAACAACGTGTTGCAGTATCGGCACGGCGGCACTTCGGACAAACTAACTTATAAGAACGAATGTCATCACGATTGAACCCTGAACTTAGTCTATTACAAAAAAATGATTTAACTTTTTCTTAAAAGGAACTAACTTCACCTCCGATCTTATAGCGAAAGGTAATGCACTCCACAGATTTATTATTCAGATGAAGAAGGAATCACGGAAAGACATGTGTAAGCGGTTTTGTTGTTCATACTTGGTTTGTTTTTTTTTTTTGGTGCCATATGAACCAGTTTCTTGGAAATGTTCATAAGCCGTGTATTTTTGTTCGCTAAGGCTGACTAATTCAAAATAAACAAGTTCGATCCTAGTGCCGTGTCACCATGTTAGAAACGCTGGCTCGAGCCGCGCGGAGGAATATTGGCCCTCAATACTAGCCCTCAAGTCGATGCTCAACTCTTTCCTTGATACACTCTTTAACAAAAAGGAAAAAAGAGGAACGACTTCAAACTGCATAATCACCATAACAGGAAACGGTATTCTGAGACCACATGCAAAGTACTTTAGGCGAGAGTCTCCAATAGCTAAACCCTATAAGTATCGTTTCAACTCCAAATGAACAAAGAAAGAGAAGCAACCTAAATGGGTCATTGGAGCTGAATTTTCGTATAAATTTTAGCAGAAGAACATCAACTGATGTTCTCTTGATTTTACTGACCTTTGAACCGACATATATATATGTGTTGTCTATTAGGCATGACAGTTTTTGAGTTCTAGATCCGACAGTTAAATTCTTGTACTGTCTCTGACGGGAAAGTTTTCTTTACTAATTCCCAGAGTGCAGAAACCGTTTGAGATCTGAACACACGCTTGGGGATGGATTAGATTGACTGACCCATAAGTAGAACCCAGGCGAGCCCACCGGCTAAGATGAGCTCAACCCATTAACGAGTGGTTTTAAAAAAACATTGCTTGAGGAATTCGAAGAAATAGTTTATTGCCGGAAGGAGAAAACCGATACAAAGAAAGCATAATAGAGAGACCAAATGTCAGCAAGCTTCTTTCGGTATCATTCTGGGTCCAGTTATTCAATAAGGTGGATAATAAACGCTATCCAACGGATAACTCGCTATCCAGTGGATAAGAGTTACCAAAACGTACTGAGCTATCCACCGTATAAAGATTTATCCAGTGGATAGCGTTGTCTACCATTCGAACATCCGGGGCCTGATGTTTTGCCGAGGAAAAATTCTTGACAAACAGCATTATGGCTTTGTTAGGCCTTTCTTCGTCGAAATCGTCTCTAGCTCGCTGCAATCCAACATGGACCACTACCGTGAGAACCTGCTATTTATATAAACAGAGCAAATATTGTTTATGAGGTTGAAGTACGACTTAGCCGGATGAGAATACGATATCGTTTTCCTCACAGTTTGCCTTTTCACAGCCACACAAAACAAAACAACTGCTGCGAATGAGACAACTTTGGTGGTCACTTTTTACGTATAAATACTGAAATATATCATAACTGAATTTTTGAGGCTCACCGATTTTGCATAATTAAAGATAATTTTGGTATAACAGCTGTGAGGCTTCAGCTGGCTTAAGATGAAGCAAAACAGAAAATTATGAACGGCCGAAAAATTGCTCTCAAATAGAAAATACAAATTCAAGTACTGACATCAGTGCGGAGAACGAAATTTCACATTTATGTATTACAAAGATTTTCAGGAAATCAAAGTGACGTTCAGACGAACTAACTTCACTTTGACAGAAAAAAATCGGTATTTTTGTTTATATACCTCCTAATTTTTCTTTGCCCTTGGCTATTCTTTCCCGCGTTGCTGAAAGGCTGAAACTGAAGTAGCACTTGGAGATAAGCTTGGCGTGAAAAAATACAAAGTGATTCTGGGAAATATAGACCACATTGTGGAGCCCATAGATCCAAGCTTACCTGAAACTGGAGATGAAGAAAGATAACAAATGTTCATTCCTTGAAACATACGTGATGGAAATATGATATGTGTGATGGAAAATGAACGATAAAAATTGGTTCCGATGATTTCAGCATATCCTGTGACTTGTTTTGAACAGGAATCGTAAGGCCTAAATTGGACCTTGCTCTATTTCTAAGAAATTCAACAGCCACCCGGTGAATACGTGTATAATAAGTGAACGACAAGCTTTGTTTTCATGAACTTAATTTTGTGAAATGTGTTAGCCGAGCGGTCGTTCAAAAGGGCTGCTTTAAAAACTTGCGTACGCTCAAACGCACAGTTCATGATCGTTTGTTTACCAGTACTACTTCAGTTCAGTCTGCTATCATCTCAGCTGGATTCATTCGCAACAATATTTCTATGAACCGATCAGTAAAAACATTTTCGACAATTATTAGGTTTCGATAATTATGACGACATTTAAAATTTCAGCAATTATAACTGTGTCGCACCAGCTCATCTAAACCTGCGCCACCTTGAAACAAACTCAGCAATGAAAGAATTGACCCTGACAACTGGATTTCCTTTCAAGAATCCCCTTGTAATTAAATACTTAAGGGCCTAGACTGGCCCATCAAAGAAAACGTCTTTGCGCTTACCTTCACGACTGATCTTTTCCTTCGGTGAAGATTTTTACTCCAAAGAACAGTCGAAGATCTTTCGTTCTACGCAGTTGCTTCATCAAGGGATCTGAAATGTTTCTCCGAATTAAAAGCGGATGTCCAGTCTGTCTGTATTCAATTTATGACAATGTATCAACAGACAATTGTTTAAAACTAAAACCCTGCAACGTATCTATATGTAAAGTGCGTTCTTGATTAAGCGAGAGATACAATGATTTATGACTGATTATTTTTCCGAACCCCATGCTTGCTGCGCCGTAGAAATTTCCTTAATAATACATGCTATTTATCGCACAAATGTCAAAGAACAACTGGTCTCGAAGCCCATGACGTTGCATTTTGATAGGTTGTGACATGTATCTCTACTTTCACTTCCAAATTAATTGTTTCTTGCTTTGAAAACGATGGGACCAAAGGCTAAGAAGGTTTCACTTTGAAATACAAATTGCGACAGTATGATGTACATGAAGACGGCGATCGTTGGGTGTGTTCCTACTTACTGATCATGTTTCACGTAAAAGAACTCACCATGAATTAAACTATCTTTATACGCTTATTGAATTTTCATCATAGAAGTCGTTATAAATTTACAGCCAAACAGAACCAAAAGTAGATTATATATGGAAGCAAGTTGTTCTTGCTTCCATATATAATCTGCACCTTTCCCTCCCTAGTCTGAGCTTTTGCTCGACCGGGCTGTGATATCATAGAATTACCGGACTGTGAAATCATAAAATCACTGGGCTGTAATATCATGGAATCACCTACGCAAATCTCAATCTAGTTTAACCAGTTGTCTGTAAACTTGCCAAAGGAAGTGTTAAGAGTAAGAAAATTTAAATCGGGAGGGACCCCAATCAAAAGACAGTAAACAGAATACAACTCATTCATACAACATTTTATTTTTTACTTTAACCTCAGAAACTACATAACTTAAAACAGGGCTATATATCTATAGTCTTAACTATCCTTTGCCACATCATTATATTACATTTTACAACAATTTTCCTTCTTGTTTATCACAAGTTTTCTTCCTTGTTAAATCATATTTAAATTATGGAGGAAATGAATATCAAAGAAAATAAATATATAAAAAATAATGGAAGGCCTTTTAAAGGATACTGAGATTCACCAGGTTAGACAATAATGATTGTTTTATGGTGAAGGTTGTTTTTATGGTGAAAATATATACCCTATGTCAACCTTTCCCGAGGAAAAGGAGGAAGAAATTCCCACTCATGGGTAACAGACGTGATTCCCCATTGGTACGACATGAAATGTTAAGATGAATCAGAATCCTATCTCAAGGGCGTGGCTCGGGTGATTCACTCCTTGGACAACGATGGGCTTCACTTCTATAAAGCCTTGAGGAAAAGAGCCATGCCTACACAATGGGCAATATGATCTGAAGAAAAAAACAAACCATATATATACATATATATACTAATTAATAAGACACTGATTAGGCCCTTCATTGATCATTAAGAAAAGGTTATGTCCTATGGATTAGTTCAACCTTCAGATATATGTATGTATGTATATATATATATATATATATATATATATATATATATAAACAATCACATGTTGAAAAGATTCCATAACCAAAGAAAAACAGAGAAGATATTCGTGATGACTGCCCGTGAAATTTGTTACACCTTGATCAAAGTAAGCGAAGAGCATTCAAATGTTGCATAAAGTTGCATCAGGAAAGAAATTGAAAGTTCAGATTACCAGCCCAATCCTCATTAAAGATGGAATCGCTGAGTCACTCAAAAGATGTAAAGTAACTACCTTTTAAGGAATATAGAACTAGCGACATTGAAAATGGTTGTAAAATGTTTAAAAATTGAGTGTGAAGGCCCTTTACAATATCAATTTCCTTGTGGCACTTAATAAGTGTGATGCAGAATTTGAAGCGTCAAAGCACAGTTATAGAGCCTGGTGACAGTAAGACGTTGGAGCAGGAGTGACTTTTCAATGGCATGCTACAGTTTTGCCATTTGGTGATGCTGCAATAGAGCAAGAAATCTACATGATGAAATGGTAGCCCTCCATAGAGAACGCCCTGTCGTCTTGATTAAGAAAACTTAATAAGTTTCTCGGTGCAAACTAAAGCTTAACAGTGTGAGACTGCATATTAGACACTTACAAGTTGTGCCAAATCAGCCTGACAATACACTCCACAAAATTGATAAACACTGCGTGCATCCTGCAAATAAACGTAGGTACAAATTCGGTTTAACTTAAGCCCTTTGGATACATCTCTTTGGTCCTAGTCAAAGAACGACCAGTTATTTTATAAATCACTACTGCCCCAGTCAACGTCAGTCTTCACTATGAAAGCAAAAATTACTTTTGTTTGACCTACTTCACTCCATATTCTCAACGCTAAAATTTTCAGAGATCTGTGGCAGACAGTGCGAAAAAAATGATATTTAGATCTTGGGAGTGAAACGGTTGGACCTTTCAACCAAGGTGGGTTATTAAGCTGCAGTAGAGCCATACCTACTAAAACTTCTGGGTAATCAAATTAATGAATGCTTTATGAAATACAATAAACAGCAAAGCTCCTTAATCTTATTCCCAAATACATCAGGGGATCAATTGTAGATCACGAGGACTACACAAAAATCCCTTGTTTTAAACAACAATAATTATTATGACTTCACTTCACTATACCAAAAAGGAATAAACCCCATTAAAAAAAAAAAATAAAACAAAACAGAACCAAAAAAAACAGTTACTGTTTCATGTTGTTCTCTGGTACTTAGCATTATCAAATTATAAAGTGGTTTCTGTGGATCGGCAAAAGCTTAGAGATTAATTCTTAATTTTTACATAGGCTTAAGGCCTCATTAAAGACCATCAATTTTCTATTAAAATAAAAACCAAATGGATATGAGCTTCCACACACAACTAATACAATTCCTTTCCACTTTAACACTCATTCAAGAAAGAACCTCAAGAATCATTAACACCTATAGTTCATATTAACTGTTTATTCCATAATAATCAACCAATCATATTATAAACAAAATGAGATCTGCAAGCCGACAGTTAAAAGCTCCCTTTTGCCTCATTAGTTTGTCCTTCTCAAGTTTATAGCATATTCCAGAAATATTTCTGGTGTTTATAGGTTTTCTGAGCTTCACATTGACAGCACCTCAAGTAATTTTTGATTATGGTTACTACCTGATCTGGCACAACCAGTAAATCAATGACCAACTTTTTATAATTAAAAAAACATCAGCTGCTTACGTCTTCACCGGTACATTTGTGCCATGACCTATGGGTTCTCTGCTGAAATCCTCAACCATGCTACTCTTTTATACCCCTTGTAAAAATATCTAGGAGCTGACTTGGTTGTGAGAGCTGTTGGTTGTGCAACAGGAAGCTCATAGAATTCAGAGAGTTCTAAAAAGGAAAAATAATTCTTATTATCCAAAAAAAAACCCTCAAGAAAAATTATATCTTAATAAGCAATTTAGAGGAAAACAAATCAATTAATGCCAACAATTAACAATTTAATCCCTAAGAGTGACTAGCATCTAATTTATCTTAACAATATCACCACTGAATCACACATTAATGTCATGAGAATAGAGGAAATGATCACCAACTACAGAAACTCTTAATTGCTAGACAAATTTTCCTTGTCAGCACCTTAGTAAACATACAGAGAACAGTATGGAGAATATGAATACTGATGTTTGGGTGTAAAGGGTAAGGAAACATTTCGCCAACTTCTTCAATTTGCTACACAACATCTTGGTAGCAATTGAAAACTGATAGAGGTGTTGGAGAATGGAAGCAAAAGACCTTCATGGCAGACACTGCTTTACATGAACTCTTACCTCCCAAAAATGCAAGGGTCTTCTCATTGCTTCCAGACATTGTTGCCACCATCTGGCTTTCTCCACCTCCCTGCCTCCCTTTGCTATTTCTGCTCTTATTTCACACTCTTTTCTTTCAATCAATCACTTCTCAATCTCCTCTCTTCCTTCTATTCCACTTCCAGCAGGAAAATGTTTGGCAACTCCAGTGAGTCTCTATCATAATTTCTGATTATCTTCTATATTGGCAGTCATCTTGATGAAGTCACTATCTGAGCTAGAATTAGCTTCAAAATGACTGGATGACTATCCAAGTAAGAAGTCCAGTATCAACATAGAATGAATGATTCTATGGGTATTGTTTACTTGGGTTTCATAACAATACTACTTGTTCAGCTGAACATTTAACACTAACGTCTTCTGTTCTTTCATATCATACATATTAATAAATTATTGTTACTTAAATTATTGCGTAGTTTAAACAAATGGAAGTACGATGGATGACGAAAACATATGCATCTTGTGATGCTGAAAACAAACTTCCCAAACTTTGTTTCACCAAATGCTTTGATCTTTTTTCCCTTAAAAATGGTATTGAATAAATATTCAGTTAAATACTGAAGCAAATAAGGATTTCTCTTCAGCCATCAAAAGTTTACCATAATTATAACAACACTATTATCAGTCTCCTTTGACTTTAGCAAGGCTGTCAATTGGTTTGGAAGTAGAGGACTATAATGAAATAGCGGGCAGGTAGTTTTTTGTGTATGCTATTATGTTTTGTCAGACTACTTGGAAAACAGGGAACTAAACACAAACCAGGAAGTTGGCACGAGCCTTTGCACAAATTCTGAACATGGAATCATTTCATGCATTTAAACCCATAAGTTTTAAACTATCCACACAATTCTACTAAAACTAGGAAGTAGCTCCTGTGCAAATTTCTTTGATGGTATTTTGATGATCATATAAATTTTCATCAGCACTTATGATTAACAGGCTTGAAAGTAGCTGGCTGGCCAGAGGTTCTAGCCAGCTAGCAGCTCTTTGACTGACAGCTCTGCTTTACCTCTGCCTATTACCTCCACCTCTGCCTATTAACTTCACCTCTACCTCTCCCTAGTTATCACCTCTTCCTACGTCACCTTAACTGATAATTGCCTCGCCAGTCTTTTTTAAGGAAGGGGGAGATTCCTACACAAAAGCAATGGATGTGATTGACTGTTTATGTTAAAGAAAGTTCAAAAAGGAACCAGAATCTTGTTTTTCAGGCATGACTTGAGTGATTCACTCTTTAGAAGTACTACTACTTAAACAACCTTGGACTACACCTTGGAGCACAATTAACTTGACGGAAAAAAGGCACTAAAGCAAGATGGGCAATCTAATCTGCAAAGTAAATACAGACATACTGGTCAGACATAAATTACCTGCTTATGCAAAAGTATGTTTTGCAAATGACAGTAACTATCATCAGAAAAGATTTTATAATGGTTAAGCATCTCCTGTAATTTGAATACGAAATGGATCAGCATGATTACAGAGACTACATAGTGACCAACAGAAAGAGAATGCTTAAGTAACTACAAAATAGAATGTTCCAGCCATTCAATTATGATGGAGGATTGCTGGAACTGGCTGAATTGTGACAAACTTACATGTTGTGCTGTATCAGCCTAACAATACACTCCATGTGAGCCCTGTGTAGGCACGGTAAAATATGCAAACTGCTGGAGGTATGCTGCAAATACAGAAGTCCAATTTAAAAGAGTGTCCTTCTTACATAAAAAAGGTATCTTTAGTAAGAGGCAAAAGGTAACTACTGGAATGGTGAACAACTAATATCTTTTAGGTAAGTCAGTCTCAAAGGAACCATATAAGACTTGAATTTTATTCTTTGTCACATTTTATGGATCATTTCTTTCCACCTCCATTTTATGAAAATATAACCCTGACACTCCAGGAAGTTATTTCTCAAGTAGAAGGGGAAAGAAGAATATCAACATATTGATTTTTTTTTAAACCTAACAACATATTCTCAAAGCTAAAATGCCCATAGATCTGTGGCAGACAGTATAGAAAAATAATATCTGTATCTCAGGAGTGGAACAGTTAACCCTCTCTCCAAGGTGAATTTTTAAGCTATAGTACAGTAGAGCCATACCCATTCAAACTTATGGGTAAGAAAAGAGGGATGAGGTCAAGAAAAGACAGATATTAAAGAATTTGAATGAATGAAGTTACATAATAGTGCATGGCTGGAAAATTGGAATAAACTGTAGGTTAACACATTACAATTCAGAGACTAAGGTTCTACTGTATGTTCACTGAGGGCACAAATTGTCACTGTATGCTTAATAACAACAATAAAATTACCATCTGGCAGATGCAGCATTCATCATAGCAACTCTGAACTCTAACCCTACATGGCCCTCTGGGGAAAAGATAAATCAAATATACCATATGAATTCATGAATAGGAACCTCTATTCACCAATGAGTCATTTACAGATGACATTAATATTGTCACTCAGAGTCAAAGTGGGTCAACGACATCCCCATAAAATATGGTTTGCCAGTAATGACTTCACAGACTTGGAATCCTGGTTAGAGAGAGGCAATATGGGAGTTAGTGCCTCACCCAAGAATAAAAGACAAATATGACTCAGCTAAGGGTCAATCCACACATTATGAAAAGGACAACAAGTGTGTTAACCAGCATACCACTATATCTCCCATCATTAATCTTTCCTGGTTTATTATGTATCTTTTTGTATCAAAATGGAATCAAGTTCAAAAGGACACATGGGCAGGGAGGATTAGAAATCTGATGCATTGTGCTGCTGATTTATACTTACAGATATCGATACTTGTTACAAGTTGTACAGATTGCAGGGCCAGCATCTTGATCATACTATCAAAGAAAAACCATAACATAATTTAACAAATAATTCAGAATTTAGTTCAGAAGCTAGTTTTTTCAAAGCACTAGACTAACCATTTTCAACATTGCTTTGTCTGACATTTGGCATTTAATGAGACCCAGGGTAGTAAATGGGACTACACAAAATATCCCTTGTTCTACTTGAAAATATTTGAGGGAACCCTTAACAAGTAATACACCAAACTAACCTTATGGAAAAACCCAGGCTTAAACAAAAAATGAAAAAATAATGGATTTCAGACATCAGCACTTCAAATACTTGTGAAATTTTTATATTTTTATGGTTGACCAATCACATTATAGAATGAGATCTCCAAGCACCCAGTTAAGTTCTCTTGCAACTGGTTTGTTCTTCATGACTTGATAACATTCCAGAAACAGTTCTGGCATTCATGGTTTTCTGAACTTCCCATGCAATTTGTGGTTATACTAAATGTCTGACAGAACCTGTAATTTGATGACTAAAAAACATAAAAAACATGACAAGCTTACATGTACCTGAACAGAACATGTGCACCACCATCTTCTGAACAGTAAGTTCCTCGCTGAAACCTTTTTCTGTGCATCTCTGACACCTTGTACAAAGGCCAGAGGGCTGTTGTTAGTAGAGTTTAATGACTCCACATTACAGGTGACTGGCATCTCAATATACCTCTCCTGTTGGGAAACAGTAATTTTACAAATCAAACTTCCTTCAATCCACTTCCACACCTGAAATCTAAAAATCTTAAAGCATTGACCCTGATTGCACACAATTGCTCCAAATTTTAATCTGCTCTCCTGTTACTTATCATCTGGTCACATTAATTTTGCTAAATATTGTGTCAACAAAATAGCCACCACCTTGATTTTTGGTAAAGTTTCAAATGCAGATCATTCAATTTTAGAATCTAGTGTTAAATTAACAGAACTTTATAACCTTGCATGCTTTTGGTCCTAAAAAGGACCTAGTGGCTCAATCAACTCAAACATGTTTGGTTGTGCTGTTACATTACCAAATTAAATAAGTTTGAGTACTAACTCCTTTACCTTCAAGTTATTCAAACAACCTCCCAATAAAACACAGTTCTACCACCTGGTCAAAGGGTGACATGTAAAGCCTTAAAAACTGATTCCCTTAGTTACCCAGGAAAAGGAAAACAAAATGGGTTGATTTGCATTTTTTAACACTGTTAAAGCATTGCTCATCAGTTCTAGGCACCTCAACTTTAGCACGTTAACCCCTGCACTTAAAAAAGTTATTTTCCTTACAATATCAGTATAATGTTTTAAGCAGACAGGTGGCACATGGAAAGAAAAATATCAACAACAGGATTTTGTTTTGATCTATATGTAAAACAAATTCCCAAAGCTAACTCTAACTTTTACCTCCTGACTCAGAGGTGTTCCTATTGCCTCTGGACAAGCCTCCCTCTCTTTCTTCTTCTGTACTCTTTCTGCTTGTTGTCCACACTCTATTTTTTCAATTTCCTGACAAAACTCTCCTCTTTCTCCTCTTTCTCTAACTCTTTCCACCAAAGCAAATGCTTCTTCTTCTTCTAATTCAAGCTGGGAGTTGTCTGTGGACTCTAATGATGCAGAAGTATCATTTCCTTGAACACTTGTTCCACCAGTTAGAGGATTAAATGAAGAATGTGATTGGCAATATATTGGATCAGGCCTTGAAATAACTTGACAATCCCCAAAGTATGGTTTTGCCTTTTTTGAGTCAGCCAAGTTCATTATGCCTTCCACATAGGAAGCTCCCTGTGGTGACGGATCCTTCTCTGCATTGTTGTAGTACAAAAATTCATTCATTTGATGTGGGCCTGGGTCAACCAACAATGAATGGAGTGAAGAAGCTTCTGCAGGAGGGTCTTTAGCATCTTTAGGGGGTCTGTGTTTAGGTATAGCTCCTAAATGCTCCGATTCATTTGACCTATTGCTCACATAGGAATTAGACTGATCTATGACTGTATCAATCTGGTCAGTGTTCCTTGCACCTGAGATACTGTTCCAAGTTGATGTGCCTCCAAGTTAAAAAAAATCTTGATTCAAACCAGCCATGTTCTCTTGCCGTAAACTTGATTCATACAGATCCTCCCCTGTACTAGTTCCAGCATCAGTTTCATTTGAGTAGTTGCCAACAGAGACCTCTTCTTCACCTTCAATACAAGTAGTCATACCCCTGGTTTTTTCCAGTTCATCAGATTTTCTATCATCTGCATGAGATGAGAAGAAGAACCAAGTTTCTCTGCTGGATCAAACTGATGGAATTTTTCAAGAAGATCCCTAACATAGGTGCATGACAATTCTCCCCTGGATTCCAGTTCCTGAAACAATTCTGAACCCTCCCTGATCTTGGCAAGTCTAAAGCTATCCAGTTTTGGTTGAACAAGGCCTTTCAGTCTTTGTAACTCTGATTCTGAAAGGGAATTTGAGATTTCATGAAGTCTATGATGCTGAAATGAACCCAGGTGGAAATCTTATTAAGATCTTGGAAGATCTTGTAAGATCTTGGAAGATCTTGTAAGAATCTTATAAGATGGCAATTAAGATGAAGATCTTACTAAGATCTTATTAAGAATTAATAATCTTAATAAGATCTTGCCAAATTCTTGAACAAATCTTAACCAGGTTTGAGCATTGTAAGATCTTAAAAGATCTTATTAAGTTTATACAAGAATCTTGTAAGAATCTTGACAAAATTTTACAACACATGGGGATTAAGATCTTGGAAGGTTCTTAACAAGATCTTACTAAGTTTATTTAAGAATCTTGTAAGAATCCTCACAAAATTTTACAAGAAATGGGGGTTAAGATCTTGAAAGGTTCTCAACAAGATCTTATTAAGTTTATTTAAGAATCTTTTAAGAATCCTAAAAAAAATTTTACAACACATGGGCATTAAGATCTTGAAAGTTCTTAACAATATCATATAAAGTTCACTTAAGAATCTCAGTTGTAAGAATCCTAATCTTTAAGAAAAGGAAGATCTTACAAGCTTCTTGACAAGATCTTGGTAAGTTTGTTTAAGAATCTTAATAATGAAGTAAGATCTGTAAATGTAACATCATTAAGATTCTAGACAGGATTTCATCTAAAGTTCATCTAAGAGTTTTGTAAGAATCAAAATTTTAAGATCAGTAGGAATTTAAATGTTCTTGACAAGATTTTATCAAGTTTATTCCAGTACATTCTTGAGTAACTTGAAATGCTTATCCTGTTCTGTTCATAAGAGAGCATGGGGATGCATAAGGCTTAAAACCTCTCACACATGATGTGAAAAATGCCATGTCCAAAAGGGGATCACATAACGTCAAGTAAGCTTCTATGGTATGGTGTGCAAATTTCAGACCTGAGAACACAATATACATGCAGCTGCTTTCTAAAGAGGTAATTGTTCCACTGGAATTATGGTATCAGCAGATTAAATTTGGACAGACTTTTCAGATTACATTTGATGATTGATTATGAAATATACTGAACAGCTAGTTTAAATAATCACTAATCATGTTCATAGGGAGTGTCTAGAAAGGGATTAAACCTTCCCATCTTTGCCTTGAACATAAAGACACCCATAGATAATGTCACCACATTCCACAAGCAAGAGACTTTCGCTGATATGGTTCAGAAAAAAAAAATATGGCAGTATGCAGACCAGCCAGATGGCAGAGTGAAAAGATGTATTTAAAAAAAAATTCATAGCTAGCTACTTGTAAAAATATTTTTCAAGAAAGTTGCATGAAATTTGTACTTTCACCAAGGCATTCCACGCCACTGCGCATACGCAGAATTGCAAATTGTACACTTGATCGTTGTTGTTAACTGTTTTTGCATCATATCGTTTCGGACAAAGTTTGACAGAAATTCTACATTGGTCGAGTGTTATCTGCCTGGTTGCAAAATTTAACTGTGCCTTACAGCCCTAAAGAAGAAGAATGATTTTGAGAATTAGGATTTTACCGACCAAATTCTTTACAAAATAATAACAAATAAACATCGGAAATTTGCAGACCGGTCAGATGGCAGAAATTAAAAGTATTTTAAAAAAGTTTATAGGTAGTTACTTACAAAATACTTGCGAGAGTTGCGTGACATTTTGTACTTTCACTAAGGTTTTCCCCAGTCTCCCGCTACGGCCGGCGCAAAATTACAAATTGTTCACTCGACCGTTGTTGTCAACCGTTCTCGCGCCATTTCGTTTCGGCAAAGTTTTACAGAAATTTTACTTTGGTTGAGTGTTATCTACCTCGTTGTGAAATTTAATTGTGTCTAAAGCCCTGAAGAAGAATAATGATCTCGAGAATTAGGATTTTACAAGCCAAGTTCTTTACAAAATAACTAATGTTACTGTCGCTTAAAATACAGAAAATGACGCAGTCGGTAAGTAACATGAGTTTACAGCACATCAGAGGAGATAAATCGCGTTTTGCTTTTCTTGTGAAAGAACACTACGATTACACATTCAAGGTTGCGATATCCTTGTTTTATTCTGTCACGTGAAGGGGCCTCAGGTGAATAGTTTACACATCTAAGCACATAGAAAGCACACGTATGATTGTGCACGACACTCGCTTTATAACTCAAGGAACACATTGGTCTTGGTAGTTTAAGTATCTTGAGAAGATTTCTAAAAAAACCACTAGTGCACGACTGGTAATGAAGCAAATGAAGGCAAATCATCCCGAAGGTAAGTGCTACTGACTTTTATTCATTAAGTTCACGTTATCAACATTACACATCTGGAAGGTGATGCGATAGACTTAGTTCTCGCACTTTTTAGATTCTTTCAGCATGGACGAAAAAAGTGACGATAAGTTTATGTAATTGCAAGGCCACGGTATTTTTATACAAGGCAAATCATAAAATCTCGTTAGGGTTCGATTTCGTCAGGAAGCGTTTTTGTTTAGAATTGAGTGGAAACTGACACGAGATGTAACGCTATCATCATCAAAACCACGTAACGGCGGCTGCTAACCTTACTGCACTTGTAGCAATTCTCTCAAGTCAGTTTTAATCCAGATTGTTCTGGATTTAAGTGTTGTAGGCAGAATCATCGTAGCTTCCAGTCGTCTCGCATGGAAATGGTTCACAGTAAACAATTAATTTGTCTTCGGCTTTACTAATAACCACTAGAAGTTAAACTAGAAGGGTGCAATAACAACGCGAAATCGATTATGGAATTCCTTTATTCCCAAATAATTATAAATTGCCACGTTCTACTTAAAAGTTTCCACTGGTGAGGATGATGATGAAAGCCAAACTGGGTTTGATTATCACGGCCGTGTCCACAGTAGTGGAAATCTTCCCAAAGCAAACAAAAATTACCAAAAAATGGGAAGTTCTTCTGATGATGTAAGAACTCTAAATACTCAATGTTGGTGCATGATAGTTCATTCCCCCCCTCCTTCAAGACTTCATTGACTTAGATGGCTTAAGGCAGAATTTTGGCACTGTTATCCTGTTAATTTTACTCTAATACATTCAATACCTGTATTAATTCCATGCAACATTTTTTGTATTTTGTTTGGTTCTGTTTAGTTTTTATTTGTTTTGTTTTGTGAATGTGTGTGTATTTTTTTTCTGGTTTTCATTTAATGCTGAGTTATGATTCCTTGCTTCCCTTTCTCACAATTTTCTTTGTTCTAAAGGTTAATGAAACTTAATTCAGTGGAGGGATTGCTCAACAAATGTAAACATGTTTTAAATTCATATTCACAGGAGAACTGGAGAGATAGGATCACCTATAAAAATGATTGTATCCTGAATAAAGTAGACTTTGAGTCCCATCTTAATGCTACAAGCACAGAATGGGATAGAAGGGTGGCAACTCCTCTGATTGTAAAAAGGTAATTTTTCATTTATCAACTTTTTGTGGGAATTGGGAATAGCTGTTTCAGCAGTGCAAAGCGTAAACAAAGTTTGTTGGATTGGAGTTGGGCAGTGCAAATTGCCAAGATTCATAACTGGGAACTTGTACATAAAAATTTTGCTCTTAAAGATGATAAATTCTTGTTAAAGATAGTCACTACCTCCTTTTCTTTGCATACAGATGAGGCATGATGGTGATCAAGGAGAACCATTGAGAAGCTCCTCCCCTCTATCTTAGTAAGTACTCCTCACAAGTCAGGCTACTGAAAGATGGAATTGAAGTCAGAGCAACAATTCTACTGCAGACAATAGATTATGATACTTAATTATTTAAACACTGAGGGTTTTTTTTCCAATCTTGATTCTTGTCTCCTAACATGTTACATTTCATTTTAGATGTACAATGAAACCAAACTCCTATTACTCCTCTCTGGCAGGGATTTTAAAAAATACGCTCTCAAGGTTTTAGTATATTTTGTACCTGTATACAAATTACTATTTTCTTTTTTTCTTCCCACAGGAGCCATAAAACAGAAATTTGGTGATGCCCAAATGAATAAGAGGTGGTCTCAAATAAGGCTCTACTTGAATAAAAAAATTGCTTGGATTCCAAGAGAAAAGTTCAAAATGTAGAGGGCAATGTTGACAAGTCCGTAGACTGAATGAACTAAGGCTTGGTTGATATTTGTACAAAATTGAAACATATGTAAATTTACTTGTCAAGTAGCTGTCAAATTGCCTAAAATGCCAACTTAGATGAGTGATAGTGAGCTTTAATTTTTTGAACACGTTTGCTGCAATACAAAATTTTGTTGTTTTTTTTTTTGTTTTCATGCTTAAATTACTCTAAAAAAAGAAAAACTATTTCAGTTTGAATCAAACGAAGAACAATTTAAAACTGGGACATGCCTTTAGTTATTATGGCTTTTTTGTGAAAGGATAACTATGGTAGTTCAAATCAAACTGTCAAATGACTCCAACAATTAAAACAATTGTTTTTTTAGATTTTTAAAACACACCGAAGGGAAGAACAAGAACTCTTCTTGTACAATTGTCATTTAAATCGTGCATGTTTACCAGTTAACATTTCTTATCAAGATCTTTTTTAGTAATTAATTTCACAGTGTTGAGAATTTGAAATAAATTTTGCTTAAATGTTGGATGAAGAAATTCTTTCTTAGTTGTGATCTCCATTCCTCGATCATCCAGTTACTGCATATTGCATAAACCATCAGTTACCTACTATGGTCTGAAAAAAATGTGATATTTAAGAATTTTTACAGATTCTGCAAAAATTCTTGTAAGTTGTTTGAAAATCTCACAAGTTCTTGTAAGTTCTTTTAGAGATCATTAAGACATTGTTTAGAATCTTAACAAGTTCTTTTGAAAACTTGTGAAGGTAATTAATTAAGATTCTTGTCACAGGAATCCTACCAGATCTTGTAAGATTCTTGTAAGTTTCTTACTAAGATACTTATCAAGACTCTTAGTTAAGAATCTTATAGGATCTGGTAAGATCTTGTCACAAGATTCTTACAGGAATCTTGTAAGATCTTACAAGATCAGGTAAGATCTTGTCACAAGATTCTTACAAGAATCTTGTAAGATCTTGTCACAAGATTCTTACAAGAATCTTGCAAGATCTGGCAAGATCTTACCACAAGATTCTTACAAGATCTTGTAAGATCTTACAAGATTCTTACAAGATCTTGTAAGATCTTACAAGATTCTTGTAAGAATCTTGTGACAAGATCTTACAAGATCTTGTAAGGTCTTACAAGATTCTTAATTAAGAATCATAATAAGAATCTTAGTAAGAAACTTACAAGAATCTTAGTAAGATCTTAATAAGATTTCCACCTGGGAACCCTACAGTAGAGGCAAAAATATGAGCAGCAAGTGTAAGGTTATTTAAAAACCAATGCAAAGTTAATGATTAATAATTAACTTTCTAGAAAAGCATTAAGGTGGCTTGAAAGGGTTTTCTCAAAGCTTGCTGACATTTTAAAACAAATCATTTCTTACATCAGAATTTTCAAATATTAGGTAAGATAATGGCTAACTTGCTGAACTTTCATTTAAAAAACTTACATGTAAGATGTCACATTCAGTCATGTTAACTATAATTTAATTGAGTAATATCCTCAAAAGTCACTTTTTTGAAGTTGCCAATTGAAAGTTACCACAAAAACCAACACAGTGCTGCACATTTCTTAATAGCATTTTTGACAGTCAGCAATAATCTTCTCATTTCATGATTCTCACATCACAACTATCAACTAATCAAATGAAATGATCAGGAAATATATCAATGGTTTCATTAAGATTGGCCCATTAACAGAAAGAATTAATCATATTTTGCCAATTGGGAATTTTTGTCAGAAAGTAGCTCAAGGTTACTGCCACTATATGGTTCAATTCCCAGCTTGCAGACAAATTTTAAGGTTAATCTTCTGAAAGGTGGACAACCTTGAAAATTTGTTCCAATTGTTGAAGGAGAAAGGCAGAAGTGAGTACTTCCTATTTACTGTCTTGAATTGTGCAATTTTATACAAATTATAGCAATTTTTATAAATCATGGGTAAATTGCAACTTCAAATCACAACCTTGCAGAAAAGCAGATGACTGAGGAAAAGCAAAAGTCAAGATTGCAGTTTTAGTTTTGCTTGTGATGGTTTTATAAGACGAAACAATGATTCTTCACCATGAAGTCACAAACAATTGTTAAACTGTTACTCCCTAAGGTAAATGCAAGTAACAAAGAAGAGGAAAAAATTAACAAAATTTTATAGAACTATGCATTACAAATTTCAACATTTCCTTGTTGGTGAAGAAATATCCAACTAAACATTTTTAACCTAGGATATAGAGAGAGTAGGTGATTAGGTGACCAAGAGACTCATTCAGATCTGCAAGACTTCCCAGTAGACCAGAAGAGTTTGCATTTATGTATGAGCATGCAGTAAGAAGTTGCTGCAGTAAGCATGTGATACTTTTCTCACCTGATTTATCCACCAGACACGCCTCATCACAGAGATTTTCTTTCTTATGGTAAAAGTCAGATGATGACCCTCTTGTTGTGCAAGGCTCATTCTCCCTAATATCTGCTGTATGCGGCTGAAAAATATTCTTCTCATGCCTTTGCAATTTAAGAGCTAGTATCTCCTCTTCTTGGAGCTTCACCTTCTTAGTCAGCTGTTCTACCTTTTCCTTTAGTTCATACATTTGATTCAAGAGGAAAGTAAACTGAATGTGCTGAGGGATATCTTTCAAAGTTTCCCTTGTTCTGTGTCAGGTAACCTTGATAGCAAACCAACTTCATCACTCACCATCCACTCACAGTACTCATGGCCAACCTTTTTGTCTTCAGGATGTTCAGGCAACAATGGGTTGTGCACTCCATCAGCCACATGTTCTACAACTTGTGGAGGAATCAGGTCAACTGGTGAAGAAGAGTCTAAGGAATTATTGTACTTTTTAGGGGGTCTATCTTTTGGTCTGGCACCTAAATGCTCCCATTCATTTTCCTGATTGCTAATGCAAGAATCAGACTCTTTTTGAGCTTCATCAAAGTATGGAGAGTTTGATGAACATACATCATTTCCATCTTCAGATTTGACTTCATCCAAGTTGTTGTTGAGCTTCTTGTAACTGTTTGTGCACATAGGATTTAGATGTTCTTTTTTGTTTTTTTGGTGTCTAGCTTCAAGACCACCCTCTTGAGACACAGTTTCACAACTTGTTTCTGTGTTAGGGAAGTCGTCCTCTGATATTTCACTTTCTTCTTCACTTGATAGCCTCTCAGAGCCAGCTTGTGGCTTACTGAAACTATTTGCCAATGGTTCAATACCGGCATACTCTCCTTGAGTCAATTGATTAAATGCTGCTTCAGCTACAGATAGTGGGCTGTTTTGTATGAACTCAAGCATTGTACCTAAAGAATCCAGACCTGCTGTTGAGAGCGACTCTTTTGCAAGAGACTCATCATATAAATCATCTTCAGGGCACACCAAGTCAAATGAAGACATCTCACCACCACCAGAAGCTTGTGCATTTGATGTCTGGTCTGATGGGTTGTCCTGTTAAAAAAGGTTGGATAAAATTCTCAAACTAAGCATTCCTTCCACATTAAGATATCCTGCAATTGTAAGCCAGACAAATGAACATGTACAGAACTTAAGATAATTAAATCTTTCTATGGTGATTTCAAGGGGAAAAATTATTTGAGTGACAAAACGTTACACCATCCTACATGCATATACAAAAAATTGTCAAAATGTACCAGTCCTTCAAGAGGAACATTCACAGGGTTATAACCTTTGCAAACTGTATATAAAATAAAAGGAGTGAGTAGCATAATGCCTTTTCCATTGCTCAGAAGTAGTTTTGTGTTCACACCAAAAAAGAAACAAATTCAGCTTATATAACCACATTTAGGACAATCCTTTATGCACTTAAGGAAGGACTTCAACAGGTGAGGTTGAGAAAACTGATATTGGCAGATTGAATTAACTAGAATTATAGCAATATAACAATTAAGGCTGAACATTTAGTAACGCCATCTCCTTTGTTTTTTCTCCATTTTAACTATCATTCAAATTACCCAGATTAACCCATTTTAAAATTTTAGGAAAAAAGACAAAGAGAAAGAAATAATGTATATTAAGGTTTGATCATGTCACAAATTCAATGCAGAAAGTAAAGGTGAGTCAAGATTCCAATTCATGCATGAAAAAACAAAAATTATTTTATCATGCCTACTTTAAACAAAATTTCACACATCTTGTGGTCCTGGTCAATGGATGACCCTTTCACCCTTTACACCCTAAAATTAGAATGCATATTCTACATACTGTTCTCTACCTGTTTCCTAAGGTGCTGACAAGGAGAATTTGAGTAGTTTCTTTGATTTCAGGTTCAGACTTAATATGCTGATGTTTGGTATTCTCACAGACAGTATCTGCCTGCAATCATTCTCTGATTCAACAACGTGATTGGAGGAGGATATTCTTTCCAGTTATGTAACAGTTGTCCTTGTGACTTTTTGGGGTCATTTTTCATTATTGGTACAGCACATGCCCCTGTGAGTTCATTCCATTTTTACCAAACAAATAATACATGCATATAAATCTGTTATGAGAATCAACAGTGATGTTTTGCACTTATATTGTTCTAAAGAGGCAACAATTAAGTGCCAGTTGAGGTGGCAGAACAGGAGGCATGCAGAAAAATCATTATGCATCGTCTCTCACTGAAAAAATGGAACTATGAATTTCAATTGGACCACAACAGAGACAGACTAAGTATATGTGGCCCACTCATGATAAAGGGGAAGGGGATACTGTTGGAAAAACTGTTTTAACCTTTGAGGACTCTCTTTTTGCTATAAAGAAGGGGTGGGTGGGTAGGGAAACAATTCCAAAACCTCTCTGATTATGTCTTTCCATGATAAGGTTCAAAGCATTGTATCTTTTCAGAGAAAGGGAATGTTAAGTTTCATCTACCTTCTTGTCAGTAGGTCTCTAATGTTGAAACCTGCCTGCCACCGGGTGACCTCCTTCCTCAGGAAGGTCAATAGGACCACTTTCTTGAACAATCTTATGGTCACTAGTGCTACCAAACCACAATTTAGAAACAAATGCAAAAACTCCAGTAGAGGAAATACCCACAAAAATTTTCAATGAT